CATTATGGTTTTGTTGTGTTTAGCTGGATTCGATCGGGTCAATTGTCTTTGGAAAAACTTTATTAAAGTTAAACCGATTTGCACATAATTGGGCTTTGATGTGAGTTAGTTTGATTAACTCACAAGTGAAATCTACGCGCTAATCCTTTAACATGAAAAGGAGACAGCGTTAAAAAGTACGGCGTAATAGTTAAAGTAAACATAAGCAGAGGACTGATTTGGATAAAAAAAAGGATGACACCCCATCCCTGAGGGCCCCCCACCACCGACCGGACGGTACGATGGGAGGATGTAAATTGGACTATAATCACAATCTGACACATAGAGAGTGGGGCTCTGTCCCCGGTACTTGCAGAGGCCCTATGCATTTTTCAGCATAGTAACTCCTCATCGTAGTTGCCGGGATTCGAACCCGAGACCTAACCCTTGTGGCACTCTCTTGCTACCAGTTGAGCTACGCCCACCGGTGACTGATTTGGATAAAGTTATACGGAGTATGATAAATACAAAGGAAAAGAATTGAGATATAGAGTAAAAAAAGGGCGGGCATATCTGCAGAGGGGTGGGGTAAAGCACTATTGGCTTTGATGAAGAATGGGTGATTATGATGAAGATGATATGCAGAATGGAAAAGGATGTTGGGCATGTTCTGTGGCTTTCATGGTATCTCTACTAGATTCATAAGAGATGACAAGTTATTATTAAGCGTTCCAAATGTTGCATTATTTCTGTCAGGCTGTCAGCGTTATCAACACCCAGCCTTCCATTTTACTACGTTTTTAGGAACTTGGCTTGATTTTGAATTGGAAAATTCCTTATCTACAAATACGAATTGCTATCTTTTTAGAAAAATGGTACCCCACCTTGTTTACCCGCCGGTTTACACGTTCAAATCTAATTATTTGTACATACATAATTTGAATAACATGTGTTTCTCTTTATTAAAGTCAATTGTCAGTACGTCGACAATTACATTTGAACGTGTAAATCGACATGTAAACTAGCATGTACAAATAGCACAATTGATCTTTTTTTCTATTTATTAATGAATAAGTACAAACAATTCATCTAACAAATACAAAAATATTTGTTTTAAAAAAATTGCGTCTATTGTGTATACACATTTGACATGTACACAGGGGTGGCCCTAAGGGGGTGCAACAGGGGCGACCGCCCTAGGCCCAAGAAAATAGAGGAAAAAAATAGGCCCAAAAATATTTCTTTGTATGTAGTGTGAGTAGGCTTCTTTTTCTTTCGTTTTAAGCTCAATTAATTGGCTCAAGGTTTAATTTTTAAAATAAATGTAAAGTGACACGCCTTTCTTAATTCACTTGGCATCTCTAAGTTTTATAATCATTTTAATTACAAAGTTATCAAGTTAGGTTAGACCACCAAAGTCCAAAACTCCCAATTCGTAAACCTATTGAAATTGATTTGTTGTTTCCAAATTCCAATATCAACAAGAGTAAAGAACGCTGCAAAGCGGTGAATGACTCTGCGGTTTGTTAAGAATTGAAGTCAATCAATCAAGTAGCCCAAATGCCGGTCGATGACAAAAAAACTTCTTCTTTCAAGGCTTCAAACAATCCATCTGTGATCAATAAATTATTCTTGATAAAATTGGCGAATCAGGTTGGGATAAAGAGAGAAAGAAAAAGAAGATTAGAAAAGATAAAGTTAAGTGAGCGGGGATCAATAGAAAATTTTGTTTTTGTTAAGAAATTGAATCTTGAAAATTCTGTGAGAAACGTTTTTAAGTAATGTTTTTCTTTTTATGTGATACTTGTGTTGTTACTTTTCACCAAATATGTAATTTAAATAATAATAATAATAAAATGAGTTTCATTTTTATTTAATGACCTTTATTGGATAATTTTTTTATACTCCGTAATTACTATTTTAAATAAATATAGTTTATTATTTGTCTTGAATATAAGCCCAAAATATTATCCCGTCCATAGGCCTGAAAATAGACAGGACCGGCCCTGCATGTACACACAAAGAAAGTTTTAAAGTGCGGGGTAACCCATTTTCACTTGATGGGGTAAAATCTAAACGATAATAGTTCGTGTCATTTTTCAAATTTTCGTGAAAAAAATATAAAAATCAAAGTGAGATTTTCATAATATTATTTGATTAAATCAAGAGATTTAACAAATAGAATTGGTCCAATTAAAGTTTCACTACTTTCACTACTTCCACTAATTTGAGTGTTCACTAAAGGAACTCTAATATTGGAATCGCAAATACCCATTTACATATAGAGGCCGCTTGTTTAGAGTTAAATACTATCTATGTTTTAGCATGTAGAAGTATAGAGTTTTCAGTCTCATCTAACTTCCAGAAATTGGCTTCTAATAGTATCTAGAGTTTTAGCAATTTGGAGCATATAAAAGCATGTACGTCCATACATGCACCAATACATATTGAAATAGTATAAGTACTTCTAAGGGGTATTTGGATCTGATTCAATTCTTCAAACTGTTTCTACTGTTTCAGGTAGGGGAAGCAGAAGTTGGAATGTTTGTGTGAAAGTGCAAAAATACTTCTGACACTTTAATTTACTTTTACAAGCAGTGTTTTTAAAAGTTGGGATACATCTTCCGAAAATTGCTTTTGCTTCAAACACAACTATCAAAATGCGAAGTACAGATATTTGCATCTCACTGGACCGCACCTTAGAAGTTTGATCCAAATTATAGTTTTCATCTCTTTTTTCTTTCAATTTCAAGAGTGAACCTCAATTTTCGACACTTCAATAGTTCAATGGATCTTTCTCAGGGCAGTGCAAAATTTCATAGTACAGAGTATTAGAATTAGGAGACAATCACAAATTTTGATGGAATTGTTGGACTAACATTCTAATTACCTTTTTTGCTGGTACATTCTAATTACCTTTTCAAAAACCAGTTGTGCAAAAGTCTAGGTAAAATTTAAAACAAATGGAGAAATTAATAAAATTATACTCTCCATATATGATTGTTATGATACATTTTAAATTACCTAAAGAACTCTGTTGTCTTTTTTCTATCTAAAACTTCATTGGATGCCTCAATGTTGCTTCATTTTAATATTTCAGTCTGTTCTGAAGTGTTTGTCTCGTACGAATGTACCATATACGAAGTATATCATTTATAGTTTATACGGTTTAGAATTTATATACGTAGTATACTTTATATATAAGCAAATGTGCAATCGTCCTTTCCATGAATTTGGGTGACCAAAGTGTGTATAGGACCGAAAAATACTCAATGGCAGAGACAATAATTAAAATTAATATGAGCATGACTGCTAAGAAATAAATTAGGGGTGGGCAATTCGGTTTAGGGTTCGGTTTTCTTCGGTTTCGGTTCGGTTTCGATTTATTCGGGTTGGGAGAATTTGTATGAAACTAAAACCATTTGTGTTTCGGTTTGGTTTCGGTTCGGTTCGGTTTGAAGTTCGGTTTACCAAAGTAAAAAAATATTATGTTTAATTTAGTTTGATTTGATTCGTTTGCTTATGTATATTATTTTATTTGATCAAGTTATATATTTTAGAATTAGAAATGAAAGTAGTAGTTTATCTCATATTTTGTGAATTTATTGATTATTTAAATAAAATGTAAAAAGAAATAAAAGATAGTAAAATAAATAATAAAATATTATAAATTAAAACCTCTAACATCTTTTTTATCACTACAAAAAATTCACTTCTTACAAAAATAAGATAGTTGATTAGCATTTATAATATCACATAAAATATTCAAGAAAACCTATAAGAGTCGGTGATACAAATGTTGTAATATTTACAATTTTATTCAAATGAATCATGTAAAAATATAAATGCAAATATATCATATTATCTAACTTTGTCATAATGAATGTATGAAATGTGTAAAAGTTAAAATGATACTAGTATATGCTTAAATATGTATTTTCATGTCTAAAGTATTTATTTATATCTTAAAACGAAGAGTGAAGATAAATACAAAGTATATATATATATATATATATATATATATATATATATATATATATATATATATATATATATATATATATATATATTGTTAGGTGTTCGGTTCGATATGATTTACGGTTTTTCCGTTTTAAACCAAACCAAACCAAAGAACCCAAACCATTCGGTTTGAGCAAATGTTTACCAAATGGTTTACTTATGTAAACCCAAACCAAACCAAACCAAATCAAACCACCAATTTTAATAATATATGAAAGTTTTTTTTAGTTTCTTTAGTTCGGTTCGGTTTTGTTCGGTTTTTATCGGTTTCGGTTCGGTTCGGTTTAATACGGTTTGAAAGAAATAGTACCAGATTCAAACCAAATTGCATACGGTTTGGTTTCGGTTCGGTTTAATTCGGTTTGGTACGGTTCGGTTCGGTTAAACCAAACCGTTATGCCCACCCCAAAATAAAAGCAACTTAGATTGACAAGTTGTTGAAGTGTTTGTTTCACATGGAGTAGTAGAGTATAAAATCTCAGACTAATACGGAGTATTTTTCTGTCCAATTGGTACAATCGTACTTTCTTATTTGTGTCCCAAAACAAATATGAACATGAATTTGCTTTTATAGCAAAAAATTGTGTTACATATTCTTTACTTCTCCTTTAAATAACTTCAAAATATCCAACTTTTATTTTCTTAAACCATGCGAAGTCCAAATATATGAGTTTTAATCTCAACCACACCATAATTTAATGTACCACACAAAACTAGATCATATCGTATGAGAACAGGCCATGTTGGAATATATTCCACTTATGTGTGGCCTTAGGACCATTTTATAATAATTATTTAATTATTACTATCGTTGTAGTAATTATACCAATATGACGTAATAAATTCCATAGTTTACCTAAACATTACTTGATGGGAGTAATTGTTTTTATTAAAGGGAATAATTGATTTTCCGTTAGATGTCTTTTAATTAATTAATTATTAATTAATTATGAATAGACATATCTATTCATTGTGTCTAAACAGAAAGATACGATGATTAGCCGTGTCTCTTACGAGAATTCCCCAGGGCTATAAAATAACACCTTCTGCTTCCCTGAGAGTTTTTAACGATACATTCCACCATCATAACCTAAGGCATCATAACGGGAATCAAATGGCTTCTTCATCCTCAATCAAGTCAGGCTTTCCTCCAAGTAAGAAAATTTGTCTTACACTTGGTATATTTCTTGTGTTTGATTTGGTTAGAGATGATCCTTACAAGTTTGATCTATTAATTAATTCTATCATTTGGTATCAGAGCCCTTCTCTTAATCGATTCAAACCAATTTAAAATTAAGAACTGTAATTCCAATTCTGAATATGCCGTAATCTATCTATTCGTTTTTGCCGACTTGCCGTGTTGAACTTTCCGCCGATGTTTGAGTTGTTCACCGGCCCTTCTTTTAACTGCTTTCTAAACCCGATAATAGTTTTAATTTACTTAGTGGCTATTATCTCCAAAAAAAAAAAAAAAGAACCTGACATGCTTTTAATTTCTTTATTTGAATGTATCATCACAAACTGTGTGCCATCATGTTGATTCACATGAATGAGTGGAGACACGTAATAGCATGACTCATGTTTTCTTTTCTTTTCTTATTCTTCTTGCCCACTGGTGGTAGAAAATGAAACCGTTTTTCAATACGTAGTATGATGTATCAGTTGAAACTGTGTTGTTTTGGTTGCTTAAAACATAAAAATGGAAATCAACGTATAGCATGTGATTCATATGAATCACATCCTTTGTTCTTTCCTTTTAAATTGTTTTAATATGAATCCTTTTGTCTGCATTATTGGTTGATCAAGATAAAGTGAAAATATTTGAATTTTCCAGAATGAATGAACATGCAGAATAGAATCTGTTAGAATTGCATATAACTTTGTTTTGTTTGTTTTTGTTGATTACGATCCCCAATATTAGCACACAAATGATGCTTAATGACTTGATGCTTATATCATATTTAGGTAATTATCCCAACGGAAATTATTAAATATTATATAAGTCTAAATAACTTATCATGATATTTTGATGTATGTGTAGCAAAATGACAAACCCAAAGGCGAGTCGTTAAGTTACACATATTATAAAATTATTTTCAAGTCGAATTAACATGATTTTGTAATTTTCACCCAAAGGTGACTTACGATATTCATGTGGCGTATTTTTATTTACTTATTAAAATGTTCGAAGCACTTGAGTATTGGATATAGCCAACGCAAATCCAACACTCAAGTAGAACCTTAGTTTAGTCTATTATTTTGGTGTTATAATAGACTTAATCTTCAATATGATATTCGTTGCTTACTCTATGTGATTTACCCCATATGTTTAATTCATTTATGTTCTTCTAAATTTATGTTCTAATTGTTACAATTCAGCATCCACTTTAAGTCCTAATTATGGGATTGAACCTCTAACCGGCACTAACTTCGCGTCATGGCGAGATGCCGTTAAATTAACCCTTGGAATGATGGATTTAGACTATGCTTTGAGACATGATCCTCCTCCTGCCCTCACTGAACAAAGCTCTCAAGAGCAAAAACGAGTGTATGAACAGTGGGAGCGGTCAAATAGAATGTCTCTCATGGTTATAAAGAACTCCATCTCGGTTGCCATTCGCGGAGCCATACCGGATTCGGAAAATGCAAAAGCATACTTAGAATCCGTTGAAGAGCAATTTAAAGGCACCTCCAAGGCATATGCGAGCACTTTGATTCTGAAGATGTTGACTACAAAGTACGATGGTGTGAGTGGTGTGCGTGAGCACATCATGATGATGAATGACATGGCCCATAAACTTAAGGGCATGGACATGGAGATTAGTGAGGGGTTTTTAGTGCACTTCATTATGACCTCTCTTCCCGCACAATTTGGTCCTTTTAAAATAAACTACAACACTCAAAAGGAAAAATGGCAAATGAGCGAACTCATAGCTATGTGTGTGCAAGAAGAGGAACGCCTAAAGATTGAAAACCCCGTTGTTGCTCATATCACAACCACAAACACCGGGAAAAAGAAAGGCAAATTTAATAATGGAGATAGTTCCAAGGTCCAAAAGACAAATGCAAATGCAACTCCTGGCTCAATCGCTCCTAAGGGTCTTTTTCGTTGTAAATTCTGTCGTAAGAAAGGTCACAGCCAACGAGATTGCCCAAAATTCAAGGAGTGGCTAGCAAAGAAAGGTAATCATCTATATATGATTTATGAGTCCTTTAATATTAATGTTCCCACAAACACATGGTGGGTTGATTCAGGTTCTATGGTACATGTTACAAACTCATTACAGGGATTCCATTCAACCCGGAGGTTGGAAAGAAACCAAAGAACCATTAAAGTCAGGAATGGTGATGATCTAAATGTTGAAGCCGTTGGTTCTTTGCAATTAGTTATGCAAGGCGGTTATTGTATTAACTTATATGATACTCTTTATGTACTGAGGATGACTCGGAATCTAGTATCTGTACAAAAGTTAGACAATGAAGGATATTATGTAACATTTGGTAATAATAAAGTCACTATTCGTTTAAATTCCGACATTATTGGTTATGGTTATTTGGATGGGAAGCTTTATAAATTAGATCTAGATGACCAATTCTCAAAATCATTGTTGTCATATAATGTAAATGAAAATTTACCTAAAAGGAAACGAGATTTGGAGAACTCATCTATGTTATGGCATCAACGTTTAGGCCATATATCACGAGATCGAATGTTGAGACTCGTGAAAGATGGAGTTTTACCAACTCTTGATTTCAATGATTTTGAGACATGTGTAAAATGTCTTAAAGGCAAAATGGCAAAGGGAAATAAAAGAGGTGCCACAAGGAGTTCTAATTTATTAGAACTTATACACACGGATATTTGTGGACCTTTTCCCACTGGAATATCTGGACATAAATCATTTAGTACTTTTATAGATGATCATTCACGTTATATGTATTTGTATTTAATTAAGGAGAAATCCGAATCACTAGATATGTTCAAAGCTTTTAAGGCCGAGGTTGAAAACCAACTTGACCTTAAGATAAAAGTAGTGAGATCAGATAGAGGAGGTGAGTATTATGGTAGACATACTGATATTGGTCAAGCTCCCGGTCCTTTCTTTGATTTTTGTAAAGAGCATGGGATCGTGAACCAATTTACCATGCCGGGTACTCCTCAGCAAAATGGTGTTGCTGAGAGAAGAAATAGGACCCTAATGGATATGGTAAGAAGTATGTTAGCAAACACTATCTTGCCTCAATTCTTATGGACTGAGGCATTAAAAACAGCGGTCCATATACTCAATAGAGTTCCTTCTAAATCTGTTCCTAGGACACCTTACGAAATTTGGACGGGAAGGAAACCGAGTTTGAGATATATGAAAGTATGGGGTTGCCCTGCTGAAGCTAAGCTTTACGACCCTCAACAAAGAAAACTTGACATGAAAACAGTCAGTTGCTTCTTTATAGGATATCCTGAACGATCTAAGGGATTTAGATTTTATTGCCCTTCTAATTCTACTCGCATAGTTGAAACTCGTCATGCCGAATTCCTTGAGAACTCTAATGTTAGTGGGAGCAATACATACCGTGATGTCAATTTACAAGAAGTGCAAGAGGATGGGCCCACGACCCCATTACCTCTTTATCCTATTGCACCTATTGTAAGTGAAATTTGCCCACCTAGTACATCTCCCGAGGAAAATGTTGCTCAAAATATACCATTAAATGGAGCTATACCAAATTTAGAGGAGCAAATCCCTCAAGTTACCATTGAACCTCAAGAACCCGAAATTTCATTAAGAAGGTCATCGAGGTCTAGAAGGCCTACTAACTTTGATGATTACATAACCTATCTTAATGAAGTTGAATTGGATATAGGGAAGAATAATGATCCTCTCTCTTATAGTGAAGCCATTAATAGTGATCAATCCGCTCAATGGAATGAGGCTATGATTGATGAGCTTGATTCCATGAGAAAGAATGATGTTTGGGAACTTGTTGAACTACCTAAGGGGGTAAAACCTGTAGGATGCAAGTGGGTTTATAAAACCAAGTTAGACCCAAATGGAAACATCGAACGATATAAAGCACGTTTGGTTGCTAAAGGCTACACTCAAAAGGAGGGAATTGATTATCAAGAGACTTTCTCTCCTGTCTCCCGAAAAGATTCCTTACGGATCGCTATGGCCTTAGTAGCACATTTTGATTTAGAGTTACATCAAATGGATGTTAAAACGGCTTTCCTTAACGGTGATTTACATGAAAATGTGTTCATGACTCAACCTGAAGGTTTTAAACCCAAAGGTCAAGAACACCTAGTATGTAAATTGAAGAAATCCATATATGGGTTAAAACAAGCCTCAAGGCAATGGTACTTGAAATTTGATGAAGTCATTAAAAGGAATGGTTTCAATAAGAATCAGGTGGATCAATGTACCTACCTTAAAGTGAGTGGGAGCAATTTTGCCATACTTGTCCTTTATGTCGATGACATTCTTTTGGCAAGTAATAATTTGAATTTGTTGCATGAAACTAAGCGATTACTTTCACGCCATTTTGACATGAAAGATCTCGGTGAAGCCTCTTATGTAATTGGCATTGAAATACATAGAGATCGATCCAATGGAGTGTTAGGACTATCTCAAAGAGCTTACATCGAACGTATTCTTGCACGCTATAACATGCAACATTGCTCTCCCTCAGCTGCTCCTGTAGTTAAAGGAGATGTTTTCGGTTCATTTCAATGCCCGAAAACAGAGGTACAAAAGGAACAAATGAGATTGATACCTTATGCTTCTGTAGTAGGAAGCCTAATGTATGCTCAAGTTTGTACTCGTCCCGATATCGCTTATATTGCTGGAATGTTAGGCCGTTATCAACATAATCCTGGCCTAGATCATTGGAAAGCGGCAAAGAAAGTGTTGCGATATCTTCAAGGGACAAAGGATTACAAACTAACTTATAGAAGAACTAATAACTTAGAAGTAGTTGGATTTTCTGATTCCGACTTTGCAAAATGCAAAGACGATAAGAAATCTACTTCGGGGTATATCTTCATGTTAGCAGGCGGACCTATCTCGTGGAGAAGTCATAAGCAAAAGCTAACGACAACTTCAACCATGATGGCGGAGTACGTTGCTGTTTATTATGCAACATGCCATGGGATGTTATTGAGAAACCTTATTAGTGGACTCAAAGTTGTGAATTCTGTATCGAGACCATTAAAGATATATTGTGACAATTCTGCGGCCGTTAATTTCTCAAACAATAATAGTTCGAGTGGGGCTGGATTGTATCTTGACACAAAGTTCTTGTTCGTTCGTGAACGAGTAGAGGAAAATAATCTTTGTGTTGAGCACATTAGTACTCATGATATGCTAGCGGATCCGATGACAAAAGGTCTACCACCCAAAGTATTTCAAGAGCTCGTAACAAAGATGGGTTTTACTAGAGATCTTATATGAAAGCATATTATTCTTATGTAATTATAAATTTCCTCAAACGTATTACTTATTTGTCTATACTATTGTATGCATACACTTATTGTTCTATAGACAAATATATACAAATTAATATTGTATATTCTCGTCATCTTAACTCAAACTATGTTAAAGTCTTAGTATAATTGATGGGGGTCCTTTTGTTGATGACAACATTAGTGATTGTATCTTTTTATTATGACTTTAATATAAAGCTTGATGAGTATCATTTTGGCCAAACTTATGGATACTCATCATAAATGGTCACTCGGCCAAGTGGGAGAATGTTGGAATATATTCCACTTATGTGTGGCCTTAGGACCATTTTATAATAATTATTTAATTATTACTATCGTTGTAGTAATTATACCAATATGACGTAATAAATTCCATAGTTTACCTAAACATTACTTGATGGGAGTAATTGTTTTTATTAAAGGGAATAATTGATTTTCCGTTAGATGTCTTTTAATTAATTAATTATTAATTAATTATGAATAGACATATCTATTCATTGTGTCTAAACAGAAAGATACGATGATTAGCCGTGTCTCTTACGAGAATTCCCCAGGGCTATAAAATAACACCTTCTGCTTCCCTGGGAGTTTTTAACGATACATTCCACCATCATAACCTAAGGCATCATAACGGGAATCAAATGGCTTCTTCATCCTCAATCAAGTCAGGCTTTCCTCCAAGTAAGAAAATTTGTCTTACACTTGGTATATTTCTTGTGTTTGATTTGGTTAGAGATGATCCTTACAAGTTTGATCTATTAATTAATTCTATCAGGCCACACTTAGGACACGATTACTTCGCGGGTTACTAAACGGTGCTTATTAATACCAACGTTAATAAGCGGCGCATAAAATAAGCAATGTTGTAAGAACATGTTTACTTCAAAGGATTTAAAACACCGTTTAAAATTAAAAATGTCCAAAATAGCTTTATACATATATAGACACACAAACATTCATAAACACAAGTATATAATATAATATGTGGTGTCACCTGTACGTGTACGCATACCCCTAACCCCTACCCTCGGCCCACTGTACCCCCACCCCTTACCCCTACCCCTACCCTACACCACCCTGCACACCCTTGACACATACCCCTACCCTTACCACGACCTTACCCTCTTCCCCTACTCCCCTACAACCCTTCATACCCATTTACCCACCCATACTCCTAACAACTACTTTACTCGTAGGGGTGAGGTCGGGGTCAAGGTAGGGTAAGAGGGTAAGGGTGCGGTGGGGGTTGGGTTATGGTTGAGGGTAGGGTGGTTAAGGGCTAGGGGTAGGGGTGGGTGTGATGGGGTAGGGTGGGGTCGAGGTAGGGGAAGGTGGTATGAGGTAAAGGGGTAGGGGTCAGGGTAGGGAAGGTATGAGCGGGAATGGGTGTGGGGTAAGGGGGTATTGGGATAGGGTGGTAAGGGCTAGGGGTGGGGTGGGGTAGGACTGCTATAGTGGGATTGGGATGAGGTAGGGTCGTGGTTAGGGGTAAGGGTGGAGTCATGATCGGAGTAAGGTAATGTAGGGTAAGGGTTGGGGTGTGATAGGGATGAGGGTAGGATGGCGCGGTAGGGTGGGATCGGGATCGAGGTGGGGCTGAGGTAGAAGCATGTGGTAGGGGGTAGGGTAGGGGGTGGGGTATATGATAGGATGTTGGGTGGGGGATAAGATGACGGTAGGGTGTGGTCGGGATCGTTGTGGGGCCGAGGTAGGGGCGGGGTAGGGTAGCTGTAGGCAAAAGGGGTACGCGGGGGGTGGGCTAATGGTCGTAGGGTAGGGTAGGGCTAGGTATGAGGATGGAGGTAGTGGGTAGGGGTGGGGTCGGGGTAGTAGGGTACGACGGGGTGGGTAGAGGTGTAACAATATGGCAAGGGCAAGGGGTAAGGGTAAATTAGGAAACTGAAAAAGTTTAAAGTGCCGCTTAATTAATACTTAGGTAGTAGTATGCTTAGTAAGCGGCACTTTAAGGCTCTAAGCACCTCCTTCGGTTATTAAGCAGCTTTTTAAGCAGAGTGCGTGTTTGCTTTATCTGTCTTACTAACCTAACAATGAC